ATTCATAACACACCTTAAACCATCCAATTTGACATCTAATGGTTAGGAGAAATTGTGACCTCATTGTACTGAAAATAAATACTCTCATAGTGTACAATCCCATAAATAAATAACCCTATGAGGGTTAAACTATATCATTATCACCGTCATCCGAGCCTTATCCTAACTAAGAATTGGCTGCATAAATCTTGTTATGTCATTCCGCTCTATCAAGGGTCATACTCTTAGGCAGACCTTAAAGAGAACGCCCTAACATGAACATATAATGTTGAATCAAAATTCATGATAGGGATGTGACAAAAGCTTTTTGTTGGCTATCAACCTAATACAATCGGCTTTCTTTTTCATCCGGGCTTTCGACGGGCAATGGCGGAGTTATGGGGTCAAACTACATATGAAAATAAAAAAAGAGAGGTCTTACCCTCAACTAATAGCATCTCTCACGCTCAAGAAAAGCTCCCAGTATCTGAATAATTTGTTTCATACGCATGTAAAAACTAAAATGTATTGAGAATCGAATATATCCTAATGCATTATCTTGGGTCAAATGGAACGAGGGAAACAAATGTAAGAAGTTACCCTTTATCCTCCTATGAAGCAAGGATAAAGGTGATACCCCCTATATTTTCACAGTGAGAATATTTAAAAGCACCAATAATTATTGAACAACACCCTCACAATATATTCTTAGACGGTCTCAAGCATAATAAGAACAGTGTAAGCAACTGGAGAAACAAAGCTTGAGAGCCTCGAGAAACATTGGATCCAGATACTTGTCTGCCACTCCACAAAAAAGGCATAGACATTCCAAAAGAATACACCTCAGATGCACTTCTAGAACAAGGAATATCCTTTATGGGTTGGAAAGCTATCCCAAAAGTCATGAGATAACCATTTTACTAGGTTCGCAATGGACCCCGACCTGGGTATGAGTTGAAAAACTGCACCCGGCTGATCAGGTACGGGTCCACATGGACCCGACCTGAATAGTGTTATTATTTAAATAGTAGTTAATATATAATATTTTAATAATATTTAATTAATATTTAAATAACTACAATTATATATTTTATTTATAATATTTAAATAATAAATATATGCATTTAATATAATATTTAAATCTATTTATATATATATATATATATATTTATTTATATATTATTTTGAATTGAGTCCGGTCGGGTCTGGGTCTGATAACTTCCGGTCAAATTCGGTCCTACATTTTACTAAAAGAAAGAATATGGCAATGTAGTGGATGATGGGGTTGCCATTGAAGATAATTTAGAGACAAACAAGATGAAGACATGCTATCTCGTCCCTCAAGTATCCAACATCATAACAAAAAAGAGCTCACTACTCTCCCCTTCAATCCTATTTGTGGATATATATTCACGCAAGGACTGCTATCGTAAAGAAATGTATGGGGCTGAGGCCCGAAACAATTAAAATAAGGCGCGCCTTTGAATAGTATTGGAGCATGTTTTTCGGAAATATTTGTGTTGGCTTGAAACTTTATTTTCATAACTAACTATAAAGTTTGAAGCTTCAAGAATATAGTGTATATTGAGTGTATCTCTGAACACTTGAAAAATCTAAAAAATTGACAGGTTAAAAATACATTACAAGATAGACAATTTCTAAGACTTGGAACCTATTTTTTCTCAAAGCCATACATCTTGAGGTCGAGATGACTTATTTGAGGATTTTTGGGTATCAAAATAACATTTTCTATTGGATTTTTGAAGTGCTCCTTAATTTAGTTCTTTGGGACCTTGCCCTTATGTAAGCTTTTTCCTCTAGATAAAGGGGGGCGCTAGGGCTATAAGGTTATATTAGAGTACTTTTACAGTGAAATCTCAACAATAAAGGTTAATACAGATTTCTAACTTTTCAAAATATCAAACACAAGTGTCGTGACACAACCTGCACAAAAAACCATAAACACGGGTGTCCATGGGTAAGGCCCAATAGAAACCCTAAAAATTCATCAAGAATCTCATTCTATATGCTTTTGGTACACACCGCCCTTCCATTTCATGTAAAGTGTTCATGCATAGTGGGGAATAAGGGTGGAAGTCAAACAGGGAGGACCACAAAAGAGACTTCAATGATTTACTAGGAAAAATAATTGAAAAAGAAAGAGATCCCAGATGAGGGCAAGAGAGAAGTGATCCCTATCCCCCCAGTTCAATGATGGAAGGAAGAAGGATAAGAGAGAACCAACAAAGGGCGGTTGTGATGAATAAAGGCAAAGGGGTGATGCCGGAATACTCTACCCCACGGGCTTTGCAAGGCCCGAGGAAAGGGATCACGGCAAAATCACACCCCTTGACCATTTTTTCAGGTTAGAGATAGAGAGAGAAAATAATAATAATGACTAAAATGCCCCTTATCAGTTTTTCTGTCGGCTGCACGGCATTCGTTACAGGGTGAGGTTTGTATAGAGCCGAGGCTCTAAACAGTCACAGTAGAGCGCACCTACTAAAATTGATGGGTTTTCTATGAGTCGGCCAACTCATATGCATCTCCCTACTAAAAAATTTCTTAGATGATTTTTTTTTCTATTTTTTTTTTTTAGATCCATCATCTAGGCTAAGATGATCAAAAATATGAAAATAAAAATAAACTTTTATAATTAGAAATATAAATTTTTTAATTTTTTTTTATGCACAGCAAATATCTTATTTATGGACAATACACTTTAGGTAACGTGAAACAATTTTCCTTCATTAATTTAGTAAGCAGGTATGTTAGTAGTGAGGATCATTGAAAAACCCATAGTCCCCTAGAGGGGATTGAAACAATCTTGGTGGTTCTCATAAATGATGGAGGGAGAGTAGGGCTTATTAGAATTTCCCATGACCACAATTGTGGACAGAGTCCATCTCCACCACCTTCCACTATTTCCATGGACCATGATGATCTTTAAGGACTTTGCTGATAGCAGCCTCATAAAAAATAAAAGAAAAAGAAAAAAAAAAGTATTATGACCCTTATACAAAAAAATTAAAAGCTAAGTTAGCTTGTTGGGCTTTTTCGTGGCAAATTTCCCAGTTCAAACACTTGACTCCTATGTGCACCACTAAATTAGAGTACAATCTCATGACCATAAAATATGAAGTCAACCAACCAATCAATGAGGTAGGCGGTGATGGAGAACGGGACCTACAATGTGAGTCACGTTTTTGGTTTGGACCACTGCATCTTCTCACACTCCCATCGATTGTTTTAATGGTGATGACCACGTATTAATCATATTAATAGCATTATTAACCTTACACTTTTAAAGTCCATTATCCTTAGAATAATAGTAGACTTCCCCTAATTTCTTTATGGATGCAGTTTTTTGAAGGGAGTGGTTTTTATAAGGTTGCAACTTTAAACAATCCAATTAAGGCACACTTTCAAATTTTACCATAACATGTAATTTTGATATAAAAAATTCTTAGGATTATCTAAAAATCTATTTTTATATTTAATTATAAAATTTTAGATACCAAAATTGGTTAAAATCAAATATATCTATAAACATATGAAAATCTTAAAAATAGATGGTTTAGATAATATGTTGCAAGTTGCACTATTTTTGGGATTTAAATTTTTTTTTTTCTTTTCATATTCATACTTCTCAATGTCGAGATGATCAGTTGGAAGGTTTTTCAACATTAAAACAACCTTTTATTATGGATTTTTGAGGTGCATCTATAATTCTACATTTTATGGTTACAACCTTATATAAACTTTTTCCTTTCTTGAATGCCTAGAACTTATAAAAAAAAATATGGAAATTATTACAAATATACTTTAATTTTCGTCTATTAAAAACAATCCAACTTTCATAGACCTCGTTCACACCTTTTTTTCTTTCAATTTTGGTTGTTTTGTGACCAAAATAACCTTCACATAATTACGACTACCACAATAACTTGAATTGATATTACGATACTTTAAACACCGTAAAACCTAAACTATATTATACAACATTTTAGCTACAACATAAAACGGTATTTAGGTGGTATCTATCATCTCTACATATAGATATCCACAAATGGTGTTTATCCAAAACTATTTATCCTTAATTGTTAAGGGCGGATAAACACATCAAATAAACTCGTTTGTCAAAAAAATAAAATAAAATAAATATTATCATAATCAAGAGATATGAACACCAATCCATAACTTATGGTATTTATTCTTAATGTTACTAGCGGATAAATACATATAAATATCAAATCTTCTCATAATAATCAAGAGCTATGAACACCAATAACCTCAACATATATTTGTCCATATAGATATCTATATTGATATGTACCTAACGTATATCCATACGGTAGCTAAAATGATATCAATTCAAGTTTTATTTACCGTGAATGTTATTTTGTTCACAAAATAACCAAAATTGAAGAAAAAGAGTATTGATGAACTTTATGAAAGTTGGGTTTTTTTTTTTCTCTTTTAAATAGGCGAAAATTAATGTATATTTGTAATAATTTCCCAACTAAATAAAGCCCCACCTTGAAACTTCATCTGAAATATATTTTGAGTAAGGAATAACTCCGTAATGGCTCTAAAATCAATTTTTACCATTGGTTATGAAATTTATAATTCAAAAAATAATATAGATCTTACTGATTTATAAACAATTAAAAATAGATGGTCTAGGCAATGTGGTCTCTAATGTATAATATTTTTAGAGCTTGAAATCTTAATTTTTCAATGGTCTAAGGTAGATACGACTGATTTTAAAGTTTTCTTACGAGAGATCGCAGTGGGTTTTGTTACTTATTTGATAGGCTGCAGGCCCATCAAAATATTTTCTTTCATTTATTATTTACATTTTCTTTTATATAAATAATCGAATAACCTGCTCATAGCAAGGAGAAGCGTAAATGGAAAACCGAGATGGTGACGGAGGGTATTTTGGTCATATTTACAAAAGCTGGGTGTATTCGAGGTTCTCGCCAGAATTAATATAGAGGGGAAATATGGCAGTCTTCCTTCCACTTTGTTTCCCCACAATATCTCTCTCTCTCTCTCTCTCTCTCTCTCTCTCTCTCTTTCCCTTCCTCTCTCTTCCCCTTCTCAAGCATGAGCGCCTCTGCATCTCGCAAGGTTCTCTCTCTTTCTCTCTCCTCTCTCTCTTCTCTTTCTCTGATTTCTCATAGCTTCGCTTTAGAATTCAGTTCTCGTGACTTTTCTCTCATCTCTTCTGAAATCTAATGGTCTTGCTTTCTTTTTTGGTGTTTTTACTTTTATACAGGCCCTGAGTAAGATCGCATGCAATAGACTCCAGAAAGAGCTCGTGGAATGGCAAGTCAATCCACCTGCTGGATTCAAGCACAAAGTCACTGATAATCTACAGAGGTTCTTGTTTTCTTTTTTCTTTTTTCTTTTAAAATATTTTTCTGATTTTTCAGGGTTTTCAGTTACAAAAAAATTATATGTTTTTACCTTTAATTTAACTGTTTTTGGTATTTGTCTTTAAAGGTGGGTTATTGAAGTTCATGGCGCACCAGGAACTCTCTATGCGAACGAAACTTTTCAACTTCAAGTTGATTTTCCTGAGCATTATCCAATGGAGGCTCCTCAGGCAATTAATAACCTTCAGAATTTTAAGTTTTTACATTATTTTTTTTGCAATGCTATTTGTAATCTTGATAGTTTCCCTGTCTAGTAATTGCATTATGTATTGTTTTTTTGACAATAATTGCATTATGTATTATTTTTATTGATTTTGTTTTGTTTCATGGCAGGTTATTTTTCTCAATCCTGCTCCTATGCATCCTCACATCTACAGCAATGGCCACATCTGCTTAGGTAATTTTTTTTCTTTTGATTTGTGTAATAATTGTTTTTTTGTCTGGTGATGTGCATAACTGTATTCAATTTTTAGTTAGCATTTGTGTGTTAATATTGCATGTGAATTGGATGGATGATAAGAATATCTGCTTAGTTGTTTTAGAACATTGCGATCATATTTTCTAAGACATCATAGCAATCCTCTATGGATCACATCTGGGCATGGCCTTTAAGGTGATTCTGTGTTCTTGGTGATCATATGATTTTTGAGGACTACGGAATTTTTTTGGTATCCTACATTACATTCTAAGTCTAAAGTTTACATGTTTATTACATGCTTTCACTGTTTGAATTGAGGAAAACATGATGTTCTGTTTTTGTCTGCTGAAAAGTTGATGAGTTTTTTCTATGCATAATTTTCTGTCCGGGCATGTGATGTGCATTCCTTGTTCTTAGAGTCTAGATTCATTTCGTTGCTGCCTACCTTTTATGGTAATTAGCAACTTGTGTTTCTAAACTGGAAGTTGCCTTTCGTGTTTTTGCAGTGTTCACTTTGAATATATGATTGTAACTGTTGCTTCTTACTTAATAGGTTACTATTTTTAAACTGTGTTTCTCGTTACAGGATATAATCCATAATGTGCAATATCCCTTACCTTTGGCACCATTCAGAAAAAAATCTCTTGCCTTTGGAAGGAGTAACTCAGTTTTAAAGTTCCTATTAACTGCTTTCAACTCAATGTGACCTCTTTTCTGGCTTGATGATGGCAGTCTAGCCAATGGGGTTTTTTCTTGTGTCTATTTGAGTTGTCTTTATTGATTTTTGGCTGTGAAGGCTTCATGTGAATCAGGGCTCATCACAATGAAACTAGAGATTGCCTTCTCTAAAGAAGTTGGACCTGATCTAAGAAACCTCTTTGATTCTAAGAACAGTTATGACTATGTTTAAATAAAAGGTTATGGATTGAGATGCAAATGGTTACATGATGGAACTGTAAATGGAAGTTTAAGTGGTTCGTGAATGATAGAGACAGATATGAATGATAATTGATTGAATTGCATATGTGGATGATTCCAATTATCTTTGGAAAATTGTTTATTACTATCCAATTATTATTCAAAACATATTTATCAATCAAAAGATATTTTCATTGTTTTAACTTTTCATATCTAAAAAAACATCAAATATCTTCTAGAAGAGGTTGAAAACTAAAGAGATCCTGAATCAAATATGAGAACATTGGGAGATGCATTGATGAACCATCATTCCCAGATAGATCTTTTCACAAATTTGGGAATAGGTACATGAAACAGAATGCAAGGAGTGTTGCGAAATTTGGGATATGAGTTTCCTTATAAGCATGATTGTCCATGTGGTCCAGAGTGTTTTGAGGTGATCGCCATGGTACAGAAGCATATCTGGGATGTTTGGTGGTGGTGGTGGTGTTTGAGTTTACCCTGTTGGTTACTATCCCCTAAGTAAATACTTCTGCATTCCCAATCTCCCATTATTAGGGGCAAAGTTTGGTATATTTAGCAAATGTGATATCCTGAAAATATGCAGTTCCCCATATGAATCATGTATTATTTTATGCAAATCATTTGGCTTTACATTGCTCTTGCACACATTGATGCCCAAGTAACCTGGCTCGAAAAAGCTGGATAACACTTAATAGACTTTGAAAGGTCTCAAGCAGAGTGATTTTGAGGATGAGGAAACCTAGGACTGCAAGTCACTCAGATCCTCCATGTTGACCATCGACTAAAACTCTAGCTGAACCAAAATTTGTTAATTCTTTTGGCCTTGAGAATCACAACTGCAGTGTTAGCTCAGGAGATACCATTCATCCTATACCTGTACATCCTTACTGCAACAAAAGTTTGTCACACTTAATAATCAGAAAGAAAAAGGACTGCAAAATTTGGTTTGACATTATTTGGACAAAGTCTGGATGTCATATAATTGTGAAATTATGAAGATGAGAAGAAGTAAAGACGATATGGTTTATCATGATTTTGTGAAAAGAGAGCAGTTGCCCTTATGGAGGACAGAAAGATACGATTAAGTAAAAGGGTGGGCTTGTGTTCTCAGCAATTGTGAAAGGAGAGTTAGCAATACTTGAGATGGACATATCATGAAGATGTTTGCAAAGTTGCTATTATTATTCTTCGGTAAATCGATTTGTTGCTTGTACTATGGTGGCTGATGCGAATGAGCTGTTCTAGCAGTTTCTGTTGTTGCAAAGATGGAATAACTAACTGTTGAACTGTAGGCTGGAGTCCATGGGCTTGTGCATAGTTTCATCTATGGTACTGGTGAAGTCTTTATATTATTGACAAGTTGATTGCATGGCTTCTTGTCCCAGTTGCACTTAAAAAGAAAAAAAAAAGTGAAAGCGACCAGTACTCTGTCTTGTGTAATTGTTATCCCAAATGAACCCCCGGGTCCATGAAAAGCCCATGGACTCCCTTGAAATTATAAAAGTTGTACTTTAAACCCCCTCTATTCTTCCCCAGTCCAAATCACAAAATTTACCCTTTAAATAATTCCCCTGTTATCCACACCCTTAAAAAGCTCGCTCTCTCTCTCTCTCTCTCTCTCTCTCTCTCTCCTCCCCCGTGAACCCACCTCTCACAGCCTGAAATCCCCCTTTGTCTCTCTTCCTTTTACCCTATGAAGTGTGAACGTCTCTCTCTCCTCTCCTAAAAACTCCAACTCTCTCTTCCTCACCCATGAACCTTTCTCTAAACCTGTTCGTGTTGGTTATTTTCTCTCTCTAGAGTTGCCTTTCTGCTTACTTTTTGGCTCTGAAACTTGTTTCTTTCTTCTTTTTTTTTGCTTTTCTCTTATATTTTCTTAAACCAACTTCTAACTTCTCTTCATGTCTGCCTTGCGTTTTGAGTTCCCTTCTCATCACAAAAACTTGCCTTTGGGTTCTTCTTTCATCATAAACTGGCCCTTGGAGGGATCAGAAGCTCATTTTCTCATTCTAAATGTCGGGTTCTCTTGTCATCATTAAAACTGGGTTCTTTGAGGGATTGAAAGCTCATTTTCACAATAAAAAGTTTGGTTCTCTCTGATCCTTCTGGCAGAGCAGTTCTGTTTGATATCTTTTACCTAAAACTCAACAGTTCCCTACACGGATTTCTTCAACTCTGAAACTAGTCAAAATGTCCCCAAAAACATAAATGAGAACTCAATTCTTAAAATCTTGCCCAAAGAAGTTGCACAGAGGAAAACCCAAGTCTCATGAGAAGTTACAAAGAAGGATGTGGATATTAAAGGACAGTTTGCTGAAGAAAGTGGGGGGAAAGGTGGGTATCGGAGATCAGAGAACCAGGAAAGAAATTAAAGATATGGCTTGGAAGTTTTGAAATGCCACAAATGGTGGCCTCTGCTCTTGTTGCAGCTATTTTTTGCCTCAAAGGAAGATCATCTCACCTGAATTTCCTCGAATTTACTGATAAACTCCCAAAGCCATTAAACGAAGACCCAAAAGACATAAGGTCAGTGGGTCTTGAGGCAGCTTTAAGCAAAAGGAGAGAGAGAGTTTTCTGGAAAAAACCAAAGCTTTCCAGCCATCCAGGTTCCAATTTGTCAAATAATTTATTAGTTTTCGTTTCTTTATCTTTTTAGCTTTCCTAGCATTTTCTTGGTTTTGTAAAGTTTTTGCTGCACTTTCGTTCTCCAAGTTTCTTTACCAAATCTGCTAACCAAAGTTTTCCCACAGTTTCTCTCTCTAGCATTATTCCCCATTCCTTTCTTATGTCACCACCTTTTATTTTAAAATGTTTCTCTTTCTCTCTTTAGAGAGAGAAAGGAGAGAAAGGAACTGTCAAGGGAGAAAGAAGGGGAGATAATTCTACATATGTTCGATAGAGGGGTTTACAGGTGAGGAATAGAGAAAGTGGGGTTTTAGGAGGGAGAGAAAAAATGGGGTTCACACTTGACAAGGTGAAGTAAGAGAGTGAGAGTGGGGCTTCGAGGGAGGTTGAAAGAGAGGGAGATGAGTGTCACGGGATAAGGAAGATAGATTTTTGGGTCAGGACGATGGGGAATTCGTAAAAAAGGGGTAATTCTATAATTTCTACAGTGAAAAAAAGCAAAGAGGGGGGGGGTTAAGCATCCCATTTTTTGACTTGGAGGTGGTCCATTGGTTTGCCATGGACTCGAGGGTCTCTTTGGGGCCACAGTTACGCAGGGAGGGGTATAGGTCTTTTTCCGCAAATGAAAATCAGTAGTGTTAGAAATCCTAATAGGATGAGTTAGTTATTTATGGTTGCAATTTGTTAAGTTTTTGATAACTTAGGAGGCCAGGAAGTCTGCACCATGGCATATCACGTCTTTTCTACTTGGACATTGGCTATTCCGCGTAAACAAAAGAAGGCTGGGGTTGCTGGTTTCACTTTTGTTTGTGACAAACTTCAAAGGTTGCAACCCTTGACCACTTTCACCCAATTGATATGTCTACCACAAAGCTGAAGCCCAAGGACACTAGCTATGGCCTCAAATCGAGAGACCTTAAGGTCTTGACCTCTTGGGATATATGTGCCACTATGGTCTCTAAAAGTCAACCTGGGCAACAGCCTGGAAACATAAAGAATAGCCAAGACCGATCATGTATTCCTAATCGATATGTGGAATCTCAGCTTGCATTTGATAGTACAAATACAGTTGTGCATGTTATATGTTCCATATTATATTGATTTAGGCTCAAAGTAATTCACATACAAGGGAACATAAAAACTGGTGTGCCACAGGAGCTATAGTTTATCCTTTTTGTTCCCTTTCTTTCTTGTCTAGGTAAAATAGGTACTCCTTTGTTTCTTTGTGAGAATAGCCGATCTTTTGATCAAGGGTGTAAAAAAAGGCACACTTCCAAACCTTGTCAGAAGATGCAATTGTGGTTTCAGAAATCCTTATGAGGGCTTTATGATCTATTTTCGTCGAAATTTGAAGCTTAAAAAATTGTACAGATCGAGCAAATCTATAAGCACTTAAAAATCTTTAAAAATGG